AGTTCAACATTTCAAAATGTGGTCGTGTCTCGTTTGGGAATAAGCTCCTTTCTACCTGATGCTAACATGACTATGGCACAACAAGGACTGTTGGGGGGTGGGTTGTTATCGGGGGTTTTGTGTGTGTCTCTGTGTGTTTGTGTGTCTGTGTGTGAGAGAGCTGTGTCGACAGGCTGTTTGAATGTGAAAAAAACGAAAGCAGAGAGCCTTCACACCGTTTCCTCTGCTTTGAAAACTCTGGGACTGGACGTCTATATTTTTCTCAATGTCTCCAGGATGATCTGTTCACTGTAAATAATTTGCGGCTCTTGTCTCAGAACATTTCCACTTTGAGGTCGGCTGTTGTGATGGATTGAAGTTGAGATACGAAGGTCACACAAGTGCCTGTTCAAACTAAAGCAGGATGAACGCCAATCAGATCTTGTCATATCGGCCAGAGGCTGGAGAAGGTGCTGCCACGGCTCCTGCAACTACCAATGCACCTGTTCACTGCAAAATCTGTGGAAACCAAGCAAATCATTCGAGGCAGATTTTAAAATCCTCTTTTATTATTTCAAGAAACTTTGACAGAATCGAGAGGCAGAGCGCAGCATCAGTTCAAACACAGAGAACGCCAAGACCTAGTTCATCGGATCAGTCGCTACGTTTGGGACTTCACTCTGGGAGAATTGATTTGCAGCCACATCCAACAAATATACAACAAAAACGACTAAATCAATAGAAATTAAGGAGAAGGCAAGAAAAAGCAGAGTTGTTGATTTTCAAATTAAGATGAAACTAAATGAAAAATGAAACATACTCTTCTCAACCGAGTCACCACACTTCCTCAAAATGTGAATTAAATCTAGTCCAATAGAAAATCACCATTGTGTCAGATAGATGTCTGATGTTTGTCAGCCTCTGCTGGCAGCAAGTTGGAACTACAACAACACAAACATCCCCTTTTAAACTACAGACGCCTGAGACACATGTGAGACTTTAGATTCACCAAATTCATAGGAATTCATGACAGGACAGGGATTTTTTTTTCTGTCATGTCAGAATAACATGGTTATAAATATTTTAAAATTTCTGATGTCGCATCTTCAACGGAACCTGTCCTCATCATTTTCGCTGAGTTCCCATGGATTGCAGTTATTGTGCCTTTTAAAGCTCCTCGGTCTCACACGAGACCCTGAATGACTTGTTCAGGTGGACAGTTTGCAGTGTAACGTTCCTTCAACATTTCACTGGAGCTCCGCGGGCGGCAGATCCATCCAAAGACGCGTGTGCAGGTTAATTCCACGGTGCCTTGTTGTATATTGTGTACACTTACTTTACGTTCTATGTGTGGTTTCCATTTATTTGGTATAATGTGCAATGTTATATATATATATATTATATAATCACGTGGCTGTACATTTTATACTTCTGTTGTTTTTCCTGAATGATTTTCTCTTGTTTCTTAACGACCATCCGACAGACAGTGGATCTTAGTCCGGTGTCTGTTATAAAATTTAAAAAAAAATCTGTACGAGTTGTTTTGCGTATTGAAAGGATGATTCTAACAATAAATGGTTGCATATTTGATTTAAAGGTGTATTCAGTTAAGTTTTCTCTTTGCCTCACTGTTGTCCCACAGACTGAATTATCTGCAGCAGTTTTATTGGGTGAGATCAAACTCAGGACAAAACATTTACCAGAAACTCTTCACAATTAGACTTTCCTCTATTCCTGTTCATAGTTCCATCCATTCAGCTATTTCCACTTCTGTACACTGCTCACATTAAACACAGAACATTTCCTGAGGGAAACCTCCAGAGGGTTTCTCAGGGGGAGGTTTCTGAATCGCTCTTAGTCTGGCCCCTCCCCTGGGACCACTTTGCCTTGGGAGACCCTACCAGGGGCCACGGCCCCGGACAACACAGCCCCCAGGATCACCGGGTCACCCAAACCCCTCCACCACGGTAAGGTGGCGATTCACGGAGGGGAGTTACACAAGGGTGGATTTCAATTAAAGAACAATTTCTAAGTCATTTCTATCTACTGAATATTAATAAATACACAAGAGATGTATAATAAGAAAAAACGACGCTAAACAAAACTATTGTCTACTGACTTGTGTGGAGAATGTTTGATTTGGTTCAGACTCTACGTGATCTTTCCTGTAGATTTCAAAAAGCTTAGTTAAGGAATGATACCGAGGAAAGTAGAGAACGCAAATAACTGAATGTCATTTTCATCACGTTGGTTAGAAAAGACTGGAACTCGAAATTAGCCAGTTTGTCTGTTTCAGTCGAAATGAGTTACACTGGTTTACGGGAGCCTCGCTGAGCGCTTAATGAAATTCTGCTGCGTAAATAAACTGTTGCCACCACAAGACGAGACAGAAGGAGTGAAAAATTAAATCTCAACCAAAAATAGCTGCTTCCTAAAACTGCTGGAGGATTAAAGAACTACACTCACCCACATTAGATCTTCTTCTCTTCCGTCTCTGGGTTTCCACGGCAGGAACCAGGGTCTTAATAAAGCTAGGGGCAAATATTTTTACCCCTTGATTGAGGGGGGGGGGCTTCTGGGTGGGGCTTGCAGCATTAAACACACCTGATTGGTTGAGTATTTGATTAGCCAACACTTTTAAAAAGAGATTATGGATCCGCAATAGAATGCAAGGACCCCTAGAGGACATTCAGGGGGAAGCAGCAGAATGTCGGTGAAGAGCCCTCGCACTCGTCATGACGCTGCAGTCGGTCAGTGAAGCTTCCCTGCAGCACAGTCCGTCAGGTCAACTGCACATGTAGATAAACAACACTGCTCTCCATGTATACAAATATTATTTATACATTACATCCATGTTACATTCAAAAGAAAATAGAAATACAGCCAACAGCAAAAGTCACATTCAAGTCGTTTCTGTGCTGCACATTGCAACGTCGACCCCCAGCCTCCTAAGGCACCAAACAAAATCCAATGACACACACCCCAAAACTACACAGGGCTCCTGGAAGCTCAACAGAGGGGACAGGTCAAAACAACGTGTTCAACTGTATTTACACAAGTCATCGGAGGATCGATCCTGTGTAGCAGCAAACACAGTTGTTGAAACGCCAGCATATACAGACAGTGGGAGATAAGACATGAAACATCGCGGGTAGAACCTCTTCCTGACATCAGGGGTTTCTCTTGTGCTCAATCTGCCTCATGAACTGAATCCTGAACGCTCGTTGGTCAAAGAGTCGCTGGAAAATTCAGCGGGTTCTTCTAAATGATTCCTACGAAGGAAAATCCTGTGACAGAAGGTTCCAGACGTGTTTGTACGAAGAGTTACCTGATGTTTTTTAATGTAAACCAACAAATGATCAGAATTTCATGTCAGTTTGGCTTCTGACCACAGACTGTAAACAAAGATGGAGGACAGGACGGCTCCCTACAGGTGAAGTCAAAGCATCTAAACCGCCCCCTGGTGGCTGTAGTGTATCATACACCTTGTGTCCTCCATGTTAGAAGATGGGACATGGACCGAATTAAAAAGTCACATGTTTCTCAAAGACGATCACATTGATGTTTGTTCAAGTTTTCACATTTGGTCTGAATTAGTTATTTGATGATATGTAAAAGGGGGTAAAACTTCATGATTGACAGCTGAGACTGACTCGTGATTGGTCGAGCATCAACCCCACCCCACCCCCGCGCTGCAAATTATCTCAAAACGATTCCAAAGAGAACAGAGCCTAAATTCTGAGTTAATGAAAAATTGCGTTTATATTTATATTGGAAATTAGTCACCATTTTTCTCCTTGGTGCCAAATTACATTTCTTTCAAGCGATGGTCCAATAAAATCACTGTTGGATTAATTCCTTTCCTTCATACTCAGCACACATCAGCCTTACTGCTGAGTTCATCTGAACAAGAAGTGCATGAGCATGGATGCTATGAATCAACCGAACTCCTAAACCTAAATTTGAGGGATGTGGACATTGACCGTGCACAGTATCCATTAACTCTCACGTGGCTAACCTACACCGTCGTGACATGTGATTGACAGGTTGGTGAACACGTCGTTCCTACGTGACATGAACATTGAGCCAATGGAAGAATATTTTTACTCAGGATTAAACCACATGTGGGTTCATTTAACTGTTGAGATAGTTTTGAGGACCGGCCCCAGAGCAAACTGCTTTAATGCTTCAGGAAATCATGTAGCATCACAGAGAATACAGAAATGAAATCCCAGCAAAGCTCAGATTGTTACAACCAAGGTTGAACCATCAGAATTTTTCTTCCTACACCGATGTGACACGAATGACGACCTCTCCTGAGTCACCGTCCTGGCTGAGGTTATTTCGCGGCACGAAGCCAGGACAGAATGGGGCCAAACAGAGGCAGGTCCATGGCTGTGGCCCCAGCTGGGTGGAGTGTAAGGGGCCATTGGGGCCAAAGGTGGCCAGGGGCAACCAGAGCGTCCTGGGGGCCAATGAGGAATGACCGGTGCTCATCTCCTCCATGTCCTTTGCCTTATCATAACCCTGGACGTCCCAGTGGAGGTTAACGGCTCGCCAGCGCATGAAGACGTTGTACACTGCTGCCCCCTCATGGACAATCAAGCCTGCAACAATGACAGAAAATAACACGTTAAAGAAAACTGTTGAAAACATTACGCATCTTAGAAATGGTCCCTTCCACGCTCCAGGCCACATTCAGTATCAGGTAGAGTCATTTATTTTCTTCTTCCACCTCAGTTCCCTCACACAACAGGTTTCATGCAAAGTCCTCGGCTCCTGATTCTCATGTTAAAGTGAAACAAAACGGCGGCTGGTTCCCTGGTCAAAATCCCTTTGTTTCACATTTCATTTTATAATTGACCTCAGGGGACGGTTGTCTGGTGTCAGCTGCATTAATCCTTCCCATCCTCACCTACGCAGACCAGGTCCATGAAGCCGTACATGCCATAGCAGATCTGGAAGAGGACGTCTCGGCGCTGCCAGATGGCCTGCGGGCTGAGAGCCGACCACAGCAGCCAGGAGATGCTGGCCACCAAAAAGAGGGAACCCAGGAACACGGCGATGATCTGCACCTTCTCCACCAGGGTGATGGTGATAGACTGCCACTGCAGACAGAGAAGACAGAGAGTACGTGAAACGGACTGAAAACAAACGTCTTTGTCTGTAAACGCACGTGAAGCTTTAATCCAGAGCAACAGGAACACTACATATATCTGAGACTGTGATCGTCGCCTCAGACAAAACTCAGCCAGGTTCACGAGCTGAGGTCTTCAGATGACTCTGTGATCGAGATTCTTTTATTTGATCGAGAAAGATGAAAGTCAGCTCGACACAACTGCAGACGACACCAAATAAAGACAAATAGAAATACCACACTGCGGTTATATGGGTAACAGTACGAATAACATCCTTCATTGTAACAACTGGTCAAAATATGAAAACGGTGCATTAAGGACTATTCTCATATTATTATTTCTTTTTAATGACAACTTTATTTTTGTATTATTACGACTTTATTCTGGTAAAACCACATCAACCAGATCTGGGCGTGTTAGATGGAGCATGAAACAATGAGCACACAGTTCCACACAGTCCTGAGCACCTGCCACATGTCTGACTGAATCTCCAGAAAGGAGAAGAAGGAGGCAAAGAGGAGGTGGAAAGAGGAGAATGTGAAGCAGGACAGAACAGGTGTCGGATTAAGAGAAGAAGAAAGTGCAGCACAAACTTAATAAACGAACTGCGAAACAGAAAATTGTTGATGGTGACGTGCTCGATTCAGAGGAAAATAACTTGTGCTGAGCGTCTTTGTGTGTTTGTTCAATCTGCCAGTGACTCAAGTTCCATCTGGAGCGAACAGACCTGAATGTTCCTCCAGAGAATCACGTCTGTTCAGCTTTGAAGGACTGAAGAAATCCTGCCGCTCCAAACCGGCAGCAGAGGCCTGACGAGGAGACGCAAACTCTCAGCCGGTGGAAAAAGATTTTCTGCTGCTCTGATTTTTTAAAAAAAGGCAGAAGGTAGAATAACGTGAATAAGTGCTTCATCGCATTCTTCCCACAATGCAGCCTGACTGAGGTTTTCATCGGACACTGCCTGTTAAATGCTCACATCCTTCAAACTGAGATTATCCGTGTGCTCAGATTACGGGATGATTGAGGCAGTTTAGTGTTTTTAAGAACAGTTTGTTCACAGCTTGTATTTCACCATTTAAGCACAGTAATATTTCAGCTCGAGCTGTTCCTTTAAGTATCGTTGTTGGTGAAGTTTTAACGGTCACAATGTGAACCTGTGTCGTCTGCTTGTTTCTCCATGATAACAGAGAAGAGCTTCTTCAATATTTAGGTTCTGAACTTGAGTTTAAATGATACAGTTGTGACAGACGCTGCTTTTTCCAGCGTCTCTGAGTATATCACAGTTCCACAGTCTCTAAACCCGCTCACAGCGCTGGAGGTGTGCTGTCCCTACCTGAGGCTGTCCAAGTACACACGTGGACCCACAACACAAATATAAGGAAAGAAAAAACTAACTGCTGCACGCTGTAATACCTGCCACGGTCTCTTCATGTTGATGGCGATGACGTGGAAGCGATAGCAGCAGAGCTCGCAGGTCCAGCAGCCCCGCTCGCTGATCCACTTCAGCAGGCAGTGCTGGTGAGTGTAACGCACTGAGCCGTCGCACCGGCATGGATTCAACAAGTCGCCCTGGAGACCAGAGAGAGGGCAGAGGTCATTATATAATAAAGAGATGACATTGATTTGATAAAAGCACTTTAAGACATTCACAAGTGGAAAATAACTGGAACTCTCAACGCACAACGTTGGAATCATACTCATGTCTCGGCTGGAGTTTCTATAAATTTGACCACTTCCTGTTGCACCAGTGACGGCTTGAACCTCGGGATCCTTCCAGGAACAGGAGGAAACAGCAGGAAACACAGACGTGTGTGTGTGTTTCCTATCATTTCAAAAGTGACTTTGGTCTTTTCTTCCAGCTGGTCATTCGTCAAACGAAAACACACGACTTGTTCACCACAGGACTTTGGCAGCATCGCTCAGATCAATGATCATCTCTCCAAGCTACACTCATGGATGTTAACGGCAGGCTGCAGCAGGACATTAATCATTGAAGACACATATTTGTGCTTCTGTTTTTTCTCCTTCTTCTTCCTCCTCCAGAAGCCATTACTGTAGCTTTGACCTGCCGGCCGAGCTGTGAGTGGCATATTAATAGTATATTAAGGTCAGTGGTCAGGGAGCTCATTTTTCATCATGTCATGAAAACCTTGTGGGTTTAAAAGGACCTCGGAGGCTTCGTCTTGAATGAAGTGACGCGGCGTCGGCTACCAACTGAAGCTGTGATTGATAAAAACCAACATCAAGGAGTCGGTATCCTCGAAGGAGCCGTTTGACGAAGCCGCTGCACTTATTCATGGGTTGTGATTACGACTGGTCGCTTATATACCAACACACATACACTATTGGCTGTACCTCTAAATGTACAGTTGTCATTACTACTCCCTCGCTATCAGACTTTTTCCTTTTGTACAAATACATGTGACGCTCTGAGGTTTCTGCCTGTTTTCCCAGTTAATAATTATAGGGTTAAAGGGATAGGTCAAATTTTTATTTTTCGGTGAACTATCCCTTTAAGATCAGAGGATGTCGCACCTTGTTAATATCTATGAGACAAACTGTGATTTGAGAATATGCTAATAAAA